AGTCAAAATCAGTCTATTAAACAGAAATGAAAAAACCAAAACCTAGGTTATAGAATAACTTTAGAAATTTATTTTATAATCTTGGGGTCCATATGTATGGCCTTTCTGAAAGAAACAGAAGCCATAAAAACAGAGCTTGTTAACTTTGATTATAACAGTAACTGCTACTACTGCTAGTAAAAACTCTCCCCCAAAGAAATTTTGAATAAGGTAGGGAATAGGAAAGTTGAGGAAAATACTTGCTTTTTATATCACAATGGGGCTAATTTCCATGACAGTCTTAAGGAGGGGAAATAGAGTGGTTTTTAAACATATAGAAAGAAGTTTTAAGTACTCATTATAGGAGCTACGCACATGACCACTTCACTGAGCTACCAGCCATCACGGTTAGTTGGACAGAGATTGAAAGTCTAATAATCTCTGCAGAGAATATGAGTGCCAAACAAGATGGTCTCTTTAGTGGGCAGTTAGGCAAAATCTATGCTATGAGAAATCTCATATTCCTTAGACTAGGAGTTTAAGTTTTAGAAAGTTACCCCAGATACAAATACATAGTCCTAGATCTATCTGTGTTCAGGTACTCTATGAGGATATCCCTCATATACATATGATAAATGGGAAATGGTTCATGTGTGAAGATTCTCACTGTAGTAGTGTTTGCAATAGCTAAAGATTGGAAACAACTAAGTGTCCGTCCTGAGACACCGAGGCACATTGTTGCAGCTGTACTTTGAAATGGCACAGTCATAAGAGTACCAGGGAATCTTTTTACATATCAGCTTCTAAACATTGCCAATATATGTTCATGACAAGTGTGAGGTACAGAACAGTGTATCTGCCTGTTTGTGGGAAAAGGACATACAGATGTTTTGGTTGTATATGAAGACACACAGCTTCTGGAGAGGATAATTTGGTGGCTAAAGACACACCCAGCCTCTGCTCAAAAAAATTCTTTTTTTACACTTGGCACACACCAGCACTTAGCCCTTATTGCATGTTAGTGGTGGTTATTTTCGTTGTAATCACAGCGTTGATTTTTAATGTTGATGTGGAAAAGGAAGCTGTCTCAGGGTAAATACTGCTTACAGGGTTATCATACTTTAGGTTATTCATGAGTAGTGCTGTGTACACTTCCTGAAGTGTGTTTCTTGGTAGAAGTCAGTACAGTCTGAACACCAAAGATTTCAAATAGTATTGGGAACCAGCAGGTTAAACAAAACTAAACTAGCTCCTTTTCTACAGGTCTTCTTAGAGCCTCAACACTCATAATGTGCTTTGTGAGGATTTAGGAGGCATATTTAAAATTGATTACAGACTAAACTTTGTAAAAGAAGCATCTTACAAATAGCTGCCACATAAAATTTGGCTTTGTTTATCTTCATTATTCATTCTCATGGATCTGTATTCTTGACTTTCTCAGATGCTGCTGATCTCTGCTTGTTTTCCCTCCTTTGTAATATGCTCCAGCTTGCTAATTTGTTTGTGTTTTGTAGTCAAGACCCTCCCAAAGTCAAAGTCATCCTGATTGCACCAGGTTTCTTGAGTACAAAAGAGAATTCTGGATTATTAACATGAACTATCAGGGACTGATTGAATGGGGATTGAGATTGATGCTTCATTCAAGTCAGCTCTCCCAAAGCTTTAAAAAGTTTGCTGGTTAGTGGGAAGGAATGCAGTAACCTGGGTGGTGATTGTTGAGGAATTGTGGGCTCCATGCCCAGATGGAAGCATCATATGGGAGTTAGAAGATAGGGCTTCTGCCTTGTCTTTACCATTTCCCTTTGGCTTACACCCTAACAGGTCACACAAGTACTGCCCCCCCTTCACTTCTATCATCAAAAGATTGGATTTCAGGATTTGTATGGGTGCATCCATCTTCAGACTCTCAGGTATTATTCCTGATTTTAATGGAGTCAGTGAAGTTTGTGGGCCTGTGAAGTGTCCTTTGCCCTACTCTGCAAGTTTCCACACATGAAGATAATGTATCACCGGCCCCAGTCCGGCCTTTTTGGAGAATGAAATTATTCAATAATTAGCTCAGAGTTAGCTTCATGTATTTGAAAACTTACTGAATTGTTTGACACTTCTCTCTTTGTTGGATCATTTGTTAATTAGTCTCCAGGAGAGCAGTTGATTACATCACGAGTCAATATAGTACTGCAGGTGAATCCATACCTGCTACACTGGTCTCTGAGAGGGAGAGAAATTCAGATGTGGACAGTGGTCAAACCCCTCCTCTCCACAGGTGCTCATTTGATGTTGTGTCTTTTGTGCACTTTCTACCTGTTCGCAGTTTTCTAAACTTGGCATAGTTGAGGTCTAAATTCAGTAATTTATGCCATCCAGAAATGAGCTTTAATTTTGTTCCTTTGTTGAAATTGGGGAGATGATGTAGCTATTACAAAACCGAATGTGAGCCTGAGTTTGCTTTTATTATGTGGAGGTAGAATGCTTTGTTAGAAGGAAAGCACCTGTCTGGGAAGAGCTCTGAGTGTGACTGAGTCGTTAATGCCACCAGTTCCCCTTTCTAGCAGGAAACATATTTTGTTTTTGAATAGGATGACAACCAAGAGAATTATCAAGACCTGATGAATTTTAAGAAAGTGGTTTCAATTTACTTGATTTCCATTTAACCTTGCTTTCCGTGTCATTCTGTGTATTATCGCCAAGGGACCCAGCGTTGCTGCTGGCGGAATCATGATGGTAAAATATGAATGGCTCTCAGTAAAGCGCTTGCTGATACACAGCGATGCCTTATTACCTAAGCGGAAGCGTGCATGCGTGCGTGTGTCTAAGAGTGAGTGCGGGTGGATGGATGGTAATGCATACTGAGCTGGGGAAGCATCTCATGAATTAGAGATGCCCGTTCATTATTCATGAGTCACAGAGTGGGGAAAGGCTCGAAATCACCTAAAAAGCACTAGGAAGCAATCTTTTTTTTTTTGATAAAGAATTTTTTTTATTGTTGTGTTGGATGGCGGTACATTGTAGCATTTATAGAGGTTCTTGCAATGTATCAAGTATCAAATATATCATACCTGAATTCCTCCGCTTTCTCTCCCCCATCCCCCTTCCCCTGATTCCTGGGACAGTTTCAACAGGTATCATTTTTGCATTTAGGTGTATGTGTATACCTTGCTTGTACCGTATTCATCCTCCTACCTCTTCCCCCCACCCCCGGATTTGCACTCTTTAAGAGGAGGCACGGAGCCTGAATCTGTCCAGGATTGATGATAGCACTGTTCATGCAGGATTATGAAAGCAGTAGAGTTCTGTCACTTGCACAGCCCCTTACATCTAAATGCCCAGAGGTCTGGTTATGAGGTGTCACTGCTTGATACCCAGGTGCTTGATAAGGGCTAAATTGATTAGCGTGAAGACGGCTGATTTGGGCATGTTGAGGAAATTTTAATATGAAGAATGTTTACTCACCTGTGAAATGTTATTTTCATACCCCACTCCTCTCATACCTAGTCACCATCACTGCTGTGCCTAGTTTTGAAGATCAAGGTCACATTGTGCCCTCCCCCACACTTTGTTTTTCTTTCATGAACTATTTGTTTTGGCAAAGGTATTACATTTTTAAGCTTTTGAAGCTGTCTGTGGGTTAGATGCACACACAATCTCTTCTAGAAAGTTCTAGGGAACCATCTTTTATTATGTTGAGCTATTTGTACGTGTCATTATTATATCAATGAGTGACTCACTATTTGGATCTTGGGAAGTCCTTAGTAGAGATACTTGGATTTTTTTTTTTTTTGGCAGCACTGGGATTTGAACTCAGGGCCTCAAGCTTGCTAGACTGGCTCTCTACCACTTGAGTCACTCTCAACCTAAGATAGAGATATTGAAAAGGTGTATGTCCAAAGACTTCCTTGAGTTGCTCATCTTAGCTTCTTTAAAGAGGGGAAATGTTTTTGGCCATACTTATAATATGTCAAAAGAAATTGCCTGTAGGTTTTTGCTTTTGCATAAGTAGTTGTGATGATTTGTAATTATAACATTACAACTTGCTTTTTCTTCTTTATATTAGAAACATTTAACAATTTATTATAAACTCATAAATTTATTAATAGCTGACAGAATTGTGACTAAGGAAATGATTCAGTTATGAAAGATTTAGTTGACTGTTCCTCTGTTATGGTTTCCATGTTTTCAATTTAAGTTTAGCATTTACTGTTTTCTCTAGCTTCCACCTGTCGTGAAGTTGAATAATGGCTTCTTGTGATTTGCTTAGTAGCACGTTACCATCTGCCTTTTGTGCTTCTAAGTGTTTTGGGGTTAGTGATTTTTAATTGCTGTCCTGATACCTCTAGCTTTGTTCTCTGTATTTCTTTCAAGTAGGGTAATTTTCAAGATCACTTCTCTTCAAACTCTTGTTTTTCTGGTTGTATGGTAGGGATGAAGCCATGCATTTGTGTTGTGAACTTATCCTGCCAGTTAGGGCTGATGGTAGGAGGTGCATGTTTAAGACAAAGTAGACTGACTGCCTGCCATGGGATGGTGAAAAACCAAACTTTTAGCCATTGGAGTCTAGATAGGTCAAAGGTGCCAGTGAATATGGCATGTTTTTTGAAAGTCATTTATAAAAGTTACTTGTGGTCTCTTCTTTGCTATTTCATATCATGTCATCATTATCTTAATGTGATCATGTTGATCCATGGATATGGATTTATTTAGAGTCACATTTTTTACTCTCTTCTGAAAGAAGCATCTAATTACGTCTCTTAGAAGATGGAAGAGTCTTTTGCTACTTTCTGCTACCCAGCAGGGTTTTCTCACTTTTGGCCCACATTCAGATTTCTAAAAAAGATTTGGCTTGCTATTTATTTATTTATTTGTTTGTTTATTTAATGACAAAGACAAATGCAGTCTGAGGAGAATTTGTTCAGTACACACCAAATAGTAATAAATGGGAGGCATATATGACTATTTGAGAAATGTAGATTGGGTTTTGCAGTTTATTAATGACTGTGGCATCTTTTTATTCCTTTCTGTAGATTTTGAATGTCTTCTGGAGGTTCCTGGCAGAACCAAATGTTGGAGAAATCTTTTCCACTCCTCTGAAAAGTGAAGTGAGCAAATGCAGCATAGCAGTGGGCTCCTGAGGAGAGCAATCACAGGTAATGCCCTCGTTCTTACCGCCATTGATGTGTGTTGTCGGTATGTGTTCAGTTATGTTCAATAGCACACTTTGTTTTTTAAACAAGCCTACTTGAACTTACACATCTAGGTGAACATTATCTTATTCAGAATAGGCTTATTGAGAGCTTTCACTCAGCCCTAACTCCAAGCTCTTAAAATACTTCTTTGGGAGTTACGTCCTGGTCATTGGGTAGCATTCTTTGAAGCATTCTGTTTTCAGTGGTAGCATATCTCAGTCCTGTTGGGGTGTATTTGGAAAATAGTCTAAACTTCTTTAGGGCCAGGGTCATAAGTGGGGAGCACTCTCATTTTGGTAAAACCAAGAAAGAGCAATACCATAAGGCAACCAGTTTTTCTTTTTGTAATTTGTGTGTATGCTTTAAGGCTTACATGCAGTGTTGAAAATTAATTCTAAGAAGTAAGCCAGAGTTTAAACAATGGTAGTATTATTAAAATAAGTGATTAGGCTTTGAGTTTATGCAGAGGAATATTTATTTGAGTGTATAAATATTGATATTCTTTCTTATTAAAGTCAATCAGTCAATCTGTCAAAATTGTAGAAAGGTTCCTGTATTAATCAGGTTAAGTAAGATGATATCTAATCTTCCTTCTAAGGCATACCTCTAAGGCTTTATAATTTGCCTCTTATAAATGATCCCCTGCAGGTGTTCTGCAAGTTTTCTCAAAGTGTTATTAGAGTGCTTGTTAAAAATACATATTAAAAATTTCAAATCACAGGGCTGGGGTTATAGCTCAGTTGTAGAGAGCTACTTAGCATGAGTGAGCCTGGATTCAGTCCTACCACTGGAACACAAGAAATTCAGTTTACTAGGTTCCCACTGGGAGTGTCACCAAAGACTGACATCCCCAGAGTAGTAAAGTCATACTCTGTTGTGCGTGTGTGTGTGTGTGTGTGTGTGTGTGTGTGTGTTTTACCTTAAAGCTATTGCATAGTGATTGACTGATTTTTGCTTTGAATGCAACAATTTACTAAGCTGTTTTGACACAGAGTTAACTTTTCAAATAGCTTCTTATAAACTCAAATTGAGATTGTAACTGAATAAAACTGAACTTGGCTAAATTTGAAAGGGGTGTATTGTTCCTGGGTTATAAATGGCTAAGTCTACTTTTCTCATCTTGAGGCCACATACTAAATTTTATAGCACATCAAATACGCTAATAAGTGCAGGGTAAAGAGTAATGAGCTGGCGTGGGGCCCCGGGATCTCTGCCACACTACGGTTAGCATCTAGACCAGCATTTTTCAGCAAACATTGTGATGCTGGTTTCGAGGTGCAATTTACTGATAGAAAAACAAAATTTTCTATTTCTAGTACCCTGAGATCTGGTGAAATGCTTTAAATCCTCCAAATGAAACAAAAATTAACATGAAATGAAGCAGTAGCCTTTGACATGAAGTTATTTTTATTTTAATCTTGTAATTTCTTTGACAATCATTCTATAAACTTAATTAGTTTTATAAAATGTAATCTTTGTTTATATATATATACGTATATATATATATATATATATATATACGTGTATATATATATATATATATATATATATATATGGATATATGCTTTTTAGATATTTCAACCCTACAAATAAATTATACCTTTATTTTAAGAGATATGTAATATTACAGCATTCTGTGCATGTTAAAATTTGAGATAATATGCTTTAGTAAAATAAGAACATGACCAGGTTTTATAAGTTAAGGCTATTAATTTCAAATGCTTGTTACTTTATTAAAATGTTTAATATATTGGTATGATATATTTCACTAGTTCATATTTTTGGGCTTTTTTTTTTTTGGTGGCAGTAAACTTGGCACTCTACCACTTGAGCCACACCTCCAGCCCTTTTTTGCTTGAGATATTTTTTGGATGGGGTCTTGTGTTTTTGCCCAGGGATAGTCTTTAACTTCAGTTATCCTACCTATGCCTCCCACATAGATGGGATTACACTTATGAACCATCATGCCTGGATTATTTGTTGAGATGGGGTCTTGCTAACTTTTTGCTAAGGCTGGCCTTCAGCGGTAATCTTCCTGATCTCTGCCTCCTGAGAAGTTGGGATTACAGCTATTGCATTCAGCCTTCAGTTCATACTTTTAAAAATTATGGTAAGATATATGTAACATAAAATTTACCATCTTAACCATTTTAAGTGTACAGTTCAGTAGGATTGAGTACACTCATATCATGCAAACATCACCCTCATCCTAAATTAACCGGAGTACTTTTCCTGCTGTGAAACTGAAACATTATACCCATTAAGCCATAACTGTCCATCTCTCCCTCTCCATCTCCTGACAACCAACACAACACTTTCACCCTCCATGAATTTAACTTCTGTAGATACCTCGTAGTGTTCGTCTTCTTGTGACTGGCTCATTTCACTGGTCACATGTCCTCATGCTTCACCCATGTTAAATCATGTGTCAGAATTTCCTTCTTTTTCCAGGCTGAACACTGCCTCATTGTGAGTATATGCCATTTTGCTTATCCATTTATCCGTCAGTGGAAATTTGGGTTGCTTCCACCTTTTGGCTGTTGTGAATGATGTGATGGATAAAGGTGTACAAATAACTCTTTAAGTTCTTTCATTCCTTCTGGGTATCTATGTAAAAATATAATTGCTGGATTATATGGCAGTTCTATGTGTGCATTTTTGAGGTATACTGCTCTCTGGAACAGCTGTGCCATTTTGCATCCTAACCCAGAGTGCGCAAGAGTTTCAGTTTCTCTATATCTTTGCCACACTGGTTATTTTCTGTTTTTTATTATTTTTTTAAATAGTAGCCTTCCTGGTTGGGTGTGGGGCGATCTCTCACAGTGGTTTTGATTTTGTATTTTTCCCTAATGATTCCTGATGTTGAGTGTCTTTTTCCCTATGCTGGTTGGTCACTCATATAGCTTCTTTGGAGAAATGTCTATTCAGGCCCTTTGCCATTAAGAATTTTTTTTTGCTATTGTTATTGTTGAGTGCTCTATTTATCTGGATAGTGTCCCCTTATCAGACATGATTAACAAATAGATCCTCCCATTCTGTGGTTGTCCTTTCAGTCCATGGATTGCATCGGATGGTAACACAGACGTTTTTAATTTTGGTGTAGTCTAATTTATCTATTTTTAGTTTTCTTGGGCACTATTTTTACTTTTGCTATGCTTTTGGTGTTATATCCAAAAAATTATTACTAAATGTCTTGCCATGAAGTTTTCCCATCTGTTTTCTCCTGAGAGTTTTATATTTTTAGCACATTGATCCATTTTGAGGTAGTTTTTGTGCATGGTTTAAGGTAGGGATCCAGCTTCATCTTTCGTGTGTAGATGTCCAGTTTTCCAAGCACTGTTTGTGAAAGAGAAGTTTATACCTTTAAAGACAGTTTGGGACAAGGAAAAGGAAAACAGACAATTGTGAATAGCTATGACATGTCTATGTAAGAAGTCCCAAAACATCTGCTTATCTAATTAACAGGGCATTTTAGAAATAAAACAGCATTGCACAGATTTGAAGCTCACTTGAGAGTAAGATTTAATAACCATAACTAGGCATAGGACCTGTGTTCAAGTTTCATCTTGTTATATGGTGGGTAATGACTTCTTAAACTTGGGTTTTGATTCTGATGAACTCTGAGTTTTGGTCTTGAGGTAAGAGAGAGAGGGAGAGAAGGAGAGAGAGAAAGCGAGAGAAAGAGAGAGGAAGAGAAGGAGAGAGAGAGAGAGAGAGAGACACACACACCGAGACCCCTGTTACAGGGCTTTTCCCTAACCTGTGCCTGATCCACTTCATGTTTTAGGGAGCATTAGTTTTCAGGCCCTGACAATGAGGAATAGCCACTAATGAATCCTGGGGACAATGTGCACTGTTCTGAATTGTTCCCCTATCTTTAGGTTTTTTTGGAACCTGTTCTTGCTCCAGAAAGCACTGTGTGTGTGCGTATGTGTGTGTGTGTGTGTGTGTGTGTGTGTGTGTATGTGTGTGTTGACTGAATATTTATGCCAGCTTTGAAAAGTTCACCCCCAAATATTGGTCCCTTAGAAGTGAAGTTATTTTTAGGAGGCAAGAGGAGTGTAGAAAATATAAAAGCAAATATACCAAATATTCATAACCAAGGGGAGAGGCCGGGTGGGGTACACTGAGGTGGTGTGCGAGTGGCATAGGCTATGAAGGGATTTAATATTCAGGTGTATTACTGTCTAAGGAGGAAAAGATAGTGCATCAGGAACCTCAAGTGGAAAATGGGTTTGAAAATAGACTCAGTGTGACATGAGTGTGGGTGAGTGACCTGAGGAGATGCTGATGGTGGAAATTCATCGTTATGCATCTTGGACGTGTCCTCAGAACAGTAGGCAAGTGGCAGGTAGACAGGCAGTTATAGTTCCAGCTGTGAGAGCACTGTAGATCGGATGTAGGAGTTCAGGGCTAAGCGTAGTCTATGTGACAATGACAAAAGAGTGGCATTTACAGCAGCATGAGAATGCTGTCCTTCCTACAGCAAAACTAAGAATGGGAGTCATGCAGAACTGGGGAGAAGGGAGGAGGTTTCCCTGTGGCTGCCCTGGCTTTGGGTGGAAACACTTTCAGAAGTGGTTTTGAACAAAAATCTCCCAAGACTGGCTCCAGACTAGGTTTTCTGAATAAGTAGCACAAAAGCATCCCCCAAAAGGACCAATGGTGGAAGAATTAAACCAGCTACATAACATTACACAATGCTTAAGTCTGAGATTTGTTCATTTCTCACATAGCTTCCCGTAATTTCATAGATCTTAAATCTGTCTTCCATCTTCACCTACTTTCTTTTGTGAGTTTAGTACCTTTACTTATTCAGCCATTTTTGTCACATATTCCATGACCTTCATAATTTTGTTTTATCTTACTTTGGATCTCTTCCAGCTTTTTATGTCTCTTCTAATTGACCAGATGGTTTAGAATAAATATGTATGATTTATATTTGGTCATGTTTTCTGTTT